AGCTCTCGCTGACGTCACACCCTCTACGATCCAATGGGAGGATGAGAGAGACAGAGAGAGAGAGAGAGAGAGATGTACAGCAACAACAGTAGCAGATGAATGTGTGAAAACATCCTTCTAGTGTCAAACTCTGCACAGACAGCATTCAAGCAGCACACTGTAGCAACAACAAGAAATGCAGATTTTTGACTGGACTGGGACTTTAAAATATTTTAACTGTGGATGCCAATGCTGTACCATTACCATTGGCGGTATCCTCTGCCAACACCTGATTTCCTAATATGCCATATTCTATGTTACAATGAACTGTAAACTTTGGCTTGTAAGTCAGCATTGATGATAAATCCTAGAGGTGCTCACAAACATGAAAAGTTTGAGTGATACTGTAAAATCTTCAGTTTCATTGAAACGGAGCAAACTCAATCTGCTGACGAGTACTGTGGGATACAATCCAGCACAAGTGGGCCTTGAGCTAAAATTGTTCTGTCAACTAACAAAACATTTGCTTTTGAGAAATATGAGCCCTCAGATGCAGCTACTGGATCTGTTCTACGGTGTTGTTAGAATCTTTAATGATCCTAACAATGCTGGAAACTTACTGCAATTTACAGGCCTAAGAGTCTTGCTATTGCGCTCTAATCTGAAGTCACATTACTCCCCAGTATGAGACAAGTGGTGATGAGGAGGGAAGCCAAGAAAAAAAGAATACACCCTCTCCTGAACTGCAGTGCAGAGGCATATTTATTTTACCCAGTAGGAATTAGGAAGTCTGTCTGAAGACAAAAATATGTCATATTCATTTCAGCAGTGACACACTTGTGATTCACTGCTGATGCATTTAGCCTTGAGAGCGTGTCACGTAGAGGCTGGGCTGCTCTCAACACTGTGGAATTACAGAGTGTGAACAATAAGCTGCATACTGAGGAATACAATCGTTTTATCTGTCTCAAGTGTCACAGACAAGACTACACAACTCTGTCTCCACATGATGCAATGTAGCTGCTGCTGAGCGCACGCGCACACACGCGCCTCTGTCTGGAATCATTGCCTCAACCTCATCCAGGGATGTGAGAATCGATGCCTCAGTAATCGATACTTAGCGATCAATTCTTAAATGCTACTCATTTGGTTTTGTTCCTATTAAAAAGTATCAATTACGAAGCTTGGCTTGAAAGGTGGAAATTGCAGATCACACGTCAATTCTATCATTATGTTTGTTCATTAGCAAATATTGATACGGATGATAATCTCAGCGTGGATAAACAAGTTAAATCAATTATGCAAATCTGCTTCCTCTCACCTTGTGAAACCTTATTTCACCTTGGTGCCAAGATCAAATCATTCCTCACTGCCAGCCGTTTGAAATTATTTTAGATTCCATCATTCTGCATTAGCAACTGATGCAAGCTGCAAGAGCTTTAAGGACAGAGAATATATAACGCTGACCCTTGCCTCTTTCTGTTGGATCCTGGAGTGTTTTATAATTAAGATTTTACTTATTTCTTCAGTGAGGCTGTACAGATCTTCTCATGACTATTAATAATTATTATTTATGAAGAACTTTCCGCTTTCCAGATGTCACCTCTCTCGAGTTTCCCGCTCCTTCCACTCATCTGACACAGCCCCACGCGTAGCACCTGTCATTCATTCCCCCGTTAAAGGAATACGTTTTTATGCTTTCTTGCTGAGCGTTTAATGAGATTGATACCACTTGTATGGCTGTACAGTACATTTTAAGCTACACCAAGCAGCTGGTTAGCTAAGCTTAGCGTAAATGTGGGGAAATTAGCTAGCCTAGCCAAGATAACAGTCTGCAGACCAGCACCTTATTACCAAATTTACACATTCTAATCTTGTTTTTTTTTTTAAAGAAAAACTAAAAACTTAGTTTAAAAACGACAAGCTGTGACACCAGGAAGTCACTGTGCCCGGCCCATAGTCACACATATAACCCTCTATAAAAACTGGTAGCTGGTGATAGAAGCTTTGGGATGTAGGGACTAGTAACAGGGCTAGTTGTTGTAGTGATGGGAATTCCGGCTCTTTTTAGAGAACCGGTTCCTTTGGCTCGGCTCACTAAAAAGAGCCGGCTCTTTCGGCTCCCAAGTGGCTCCTCAGATTTTTTGTTGCTTAAA